TGTCAGTTCTTATAGATAGTGGCAGCACTCTCAATTTCATTACCCAAACATTGGTCAAACAACTAGGGATTCCAGTCCAACCATGTACAGCATTCCGGGTGCACGTAGCTAATGGGAGCAACCTGGTGTGCGACAATACATGCACAGGATTAAAACTGAAGATACAAGGACACGAGTTCGAAGTAGATCTACATCCCCTAGAAATCAGTGGAGCAGATGTAGTTCTCGGAGTCCAATGGTTAAGGCAACTAGGATCGGTGATATGTGACTGGGCCCGTCTCACAATGGACTTTCAAGTGGGCAACTCACAGGTGCATATTCAAGGACAGATGTCTAAGGATCCAGGACCTATTAGTCTCGCCACCCTAAGAAAGCAGGCAACAAACCCAGCCCACATCATTTTAATGCAAATAGACTCCCACGGGAACGGCCCAATTCTAGCCCAAGGAAGTAACTCCAGTAGATCCAAAGAAGCCCACATACAACTACAGCAGTTACTTCAGAAGTTTTCAGTGATCTTCCAAGAGCCTAAGGAACTACCACCGAGACATGCCCATGATCATTGCATTCCATTGCTGCCCGAACGGCACCCACAAATGTAAGGCCCTATCGTTACCCCTATTTTCAAAAACTAGAGATTAAGAGACAAGTGCAAGATATGCTTGATAGAAAAATTATACAACCCAGCCATAGCCCATTCTCCTCGCCGGTATTACTTGTAAAAAAGAAGGATGGGACATGGCGGTTTTGTATAGACTATAGGGCCCTGAACAACATTACTGTGAAGGATCGATTCCCCATACCGGCAATCGATGAACTACTAGATGAACTTGGCCGGGCCACAATATTCTCTAAACTAGACCTAAGATCGGGATATTATCAAATTCGGGTCCATGAGGGTGACATCCACAAGACCGCCTTTCGTACACACGAGGGGCATTATGAGTTTTTGGTCATGCCGTTTGGGTTGACCAATGCGCCAGCTACGTTCCAAGCACTTATGAATGACATATTTCGACCCCATTTGCGCAAATTTATACTCGTTTTTTTATGATATACTTGTATATAGCGCTACATGGGACGAACACCTAGTACATCTACAAATCACCTTGGAACTACTAAGGACTCATAAACTCTTTGCAAAAGAGTCAAAGTCCGCATTTGGACAGACTCAAGTACACTACTTAGGGCACGTAGTCGAAACCAGCATTGTAGTAGCAGACCCGGAAAAAATCTCAAGCACGATAAATTGGCCCCGACCGCAAAATGTTAAGGAGTTACGGGGCTTCTTGGATCTAACAAGGTACTACCGGCGATTCATCAGAGGGTATGGACTAATTGCTGCCCCCTTGACAAGTTTACTTAAGAAGAATAGTTTCTGCTAGACTAGGGAGGCCCAACAGGCCTTTGAGACGCTCAAAACAACTATCTCGTCCCCACTGACGCTCGCACTTCCAGACTTCTCAAAGGACTTCATCATTGAATGTGATGCGTCAAGCCAAGGAGTAGGTGCGGTCCTCATGCAAGAAGAAGGGCCACTAGTGTTTTTCAGCAAAGCATGACAGCACAAAAATGGGCCAAGTCAGTATACGAACGAGAACTGATAACAATTGTTCTCGCAGTTCAGAGGTAGCGACCCTACCTTCTAGGGAGGAGGTTCATCATACGAACTGACCACCATAGCCTGAAATTTCTGTTGGAGCAGTCCGTATTATCCCCGGAACAGCAGCGATGGATAGCCAAATTACTCGGCTACGATTATGTTATTAAATACAAGGCAAGGCACACTAACAAGGTGGCAGATGCGCTGTCACGCCAACCACAACTATTTCCATTGCTTCTCACGGGCCCAACGTGTTCTATCATGAGTCAGTTAAGGGAAGAAGTTGAAAGACACCCACAACTGAACAAGCTGCGTTCACAGGTCCAAGATGACCCTACTAGCCACCCAAGGTACACAGTGGAGAATAACTTGTTGTTGTATAAACGTTGAATGGTGATACCACAGGATTCAGCCCATATTAAGCAGCTTCTTGAAGTGTTCCACTCATCACTAGCAGGAGGACACTCAGGGATTTTGTGCACTTACAAGAGACTAGCCACCCAATTCCACTGGAAAGGCATGCGGAATTCGGTCCAAAAATTCATAGCCGAATGCATCATTTGCCATAAAATAAGGCTGATACCCAGTCTCCAGCAGGTCTTCTACAACCACTCCCAATTCCTACACAAGTGTGGACGGATATATCCATGGACTTCATAACGAGGCTTCCCCTTTCCTATGGCAAGTCCGTCATTCTCGTAGTTGTTGATAGACTCACCAAATACTGTCATTTTCTCCCTCTTTCCCACCCCTTTACAGCTTCAATGGTGGCTGAAATTTTTACTAAGGAGGTGGCACGACTGCATGGTACCCCTAACTCTATTGTCTCAGACCGCAACCCAATTTTTATGAGTCATTTCTGGGCAGAACTTCTTCGACTACAAGGAGTGAAACTCTTCAAATCTACCAGCTACCATCCTCAAACAAATGGGCAAACTGAGGTGGTCAACCGGAGTTTGGAAACCTATCTAAGGTGCTATGCAGAGGATAGGCCACGTCAGTGGCTCAAGTGGCTTCATTGGGCGGAATGGTGGTATAATACCACGTCTCACAGTGCAGCAGGAATAACTCCCTTTCGGGCTCTATATGGACGGGACCCACCTCCCCTACTTCCATATGAGAAAGGGTCTACAGCAGTAGCAGCAGTGGAAGACCAACTCCTCCAGCGGGATAGGGTGTTACAAGATCTCAAATCCCACCTCCGTCGAGCCCAACAATGGATGGCAGACTCTTACAACAGAAAGCATAGGCCTGTCCAGCACTAGATTGGGGAGCAAGTCTTCCTTAAAC